TCTCTCACACTTTTTATTTTCTTCAAATAGCTGGTAATTCTTAATTGCCTGTTGATATTTATAAATGAAGGTCTTGGTTTTATCAGTGTAGATAACTTGCATGAATATCCTACTCTGTTTTGAAAGTCTGTTTTGACATCTCTGTAGTGCACAATTGGAAGAAGCTTATTGGCAGGCTTTTAGATGTAAATTAGGTGAACTGGGGAATGCTGTTGAAATCCATGATTGCCAAAATAAGGAAGGTTTCATTCTGGGACAGAATGTGAGATCCTTTATAGTATTTCATTTTTATGAGGAGCTGCCTTTTTTGTTTGTTTGTTTCTTCTTTCTGTGTTGTGGAGGTTCAAAGTCCCCTTGAACATCGCTTGATTCCCAAGAGCTTTACGTCTTTATGTGTTACTTTGTATACATAGGCCCAACTGTTCTGCAGTAGTTCTAGTTTTCTGATGATCACCCTGTGGCCTGCTGTTCCTTACTGTACTTTTTGTCCTGTCCTGGGAGTATCTTTGGGAAGAAGAGCGATCCCTGCTATAGAAGATATCTCTTATTCTTATTTTGAATTTTAGTTTCTTCTATTCTGGTTACTTAGAATCTGTCAGCTTGCCAGTTTGCTGAAATTCTGTAATTTCAGATCGTTAATAGCACCCTTTCCTGTTTCAAGCACTGCAGATTTATTTTCCTTTTTCCCTTTACATTTTTACCCATGTTTGTTCTCATTTCAGTAGGATTTTTGAGAAGATAGTGAAATAAATCATGTGTTCAGTCTGATTTTATTTATTCAGCACCACTTAACATGTGTAGGTAACGTTCTAGGTTCTGTGAATGAGACAGACAAAAACACCCCAACTTTCATAGAGCTTATATTTTGATGGGGGAGACATATTGAGCATATAAATAAATGTAGTAGTAGTAGTAGAAGTAGAAGTAGTAGTAGGAGAAAATTATAGAAAGACTATAGTAGTAGTAGTAGAAGATTATAGAAAGTAACTTGGGCTGGGAGACTCAGAGGGGTGACCTATAAGTTGACATCTGAAGGAAATAAAGCCTGTCTCATGAAGAGCCTTGGGAAGAAAGCTCTAGGCAGAAGGATTAGCAAATGCAGAGACTCAAGGGGAGGAAGGAACTTGTTTTATTAAAAGGAAGGCATATCTGGAGAGTACTGAACAAACTGGCCAGTGGTATGAGATTAGATGGGTGAGAGGCAAATGTCAGGTCTTATAGGGGGACTTATAGTCTTTGGTCAGGAAATTTGACTTTCTTTTAAATAAAGTGAAAAGCTAATGAAAGGTTTTAGAAAGGAAGCTTATTTATACAGTTTTTTAAAAGATAATTTTGGCAGCTATTTAGGGAATGTGTTTGGTTTGGATGTTGCCCATAGAAGTGGGAGAAATGAAGAAATTGTGGATGTATTTTGCACGGAGTACCTATGGATTCTGTGATGATAGAAGAAACAAGCTGAGTCACAAATGACTCCAAGTTATTTGCCTTTTGCAACTGGTTGGTGCTATTTACTAGGATAATGAAGGTTGGAGGAGGGAAAATCAAGAGTTATTTTTTGGCACATCTGAAATGCTTGTGAGTCATACAAGTGAAGCTGTCAGGTAGGCAGTCTAGAGCTTTGGGAAGAAGTCAGAGCTGAAAGTAGAAATTTTGGAACGATTATAACAATAGTTTTTAATGTTTTGGGTCCATGGTTTATCTGGGCTCAGGGCAGAGTCCTAAGACTTTAATATTAGAGATGGAAAAGAACCTGCAGGGAGGAGAAGACAGCAGAGGCGATAAAGAGGAATGGCTGGTGAGATGGGAGATTTGCAGAACCTGAAAATCAAGTAAAAAATTAATTTCAAGGAAAAGAGGGGGCTTCCCTGGTGGCGCAGTGGTTGAGAGTCCGCCTGCCAATGCAGGTTCGTGCCCTGGTCCAGGAAGATCCCACATGCCGCGGAGCCTGCGTGTCCGGAGCCTGTGCTCCGCAACGGGAGAGGCCACAACAGTGAGAGGCCCGCGGACCGCCAAAAAAAAAAAAAAAAAAAAATTAATTTCAAGGAAAAGAGTAGTCCTGTGTTGAATTTTTGAGAGATGGTATTAAGATGATTAAAGAGAGGTGTCTATTAGATTTGCTGACAGAGGTTTTTGTCCTTCTTGATCATTTGCATTGAGTTGGGAGCTATACTGGAATGAATTGATGGGTGAATGGGAGGTGAGAAACTGAAGGCAGAAAGTACAGATACTTCTTTTTTGAGAAGTTGGCTATGAAGAAGTTTGCAGAGGTGGGTTAGTAGCTGAAGGAACAAACTTACATTCAGTGTTAAACTCTAAAAGGCATACTATAAAAAGCTTTACCTGTTACTATTTATTTCAACTTTTTTTTTTTTGAGAAATTCTAAGCATACCCTGTCCCATCCACATCCACTCCTTCTCTTGTATATTATTTTAAAGCAAATTTCATATAATTTCAATTATAAATATTTCATTACATGTTTCTAAAAGACAAACCTTGGGACTTCCCTGGCGGTCCAGTGGTTAAGACTCCATGCCTCCAATGCAGGGGGCATGGGTTTGATTCCTGGTCAGGGAACTAGGATCCCATATGCCATGTGGCACAACCAAAAAGAAATAAAATTAAAAATTAAAAAAATAAAAATAAAAGATAGACCTTTAAAAACTTAAGCACAATAAAAAATTAACAATAATTCCATAATATCAAATATCCAACTGGTGTTGAAATTTTCAGATTTCTCATAAATGGTTTTTATTTTTTTATTTTTATTTTTTTTGCGGTACGCGGGCCTCTCACTGTTGTGGCCTCTCCCGTTGCGGAGCACAGGCTCCGGACGCGCAGGCTCAGCGGCCATGGCTCACGGGACCAGCCGCTCCGCGGCATGTGGGATCTTCCCGGACCAGGGCACGAACCCGTGTCCCCTGCATCGGCAGGCGGACTCTCAACCACTGCGCCACCAGGGAAGCCCTCATAAATGGTTTTTAAAAACAGATTCCAGATAAGGTCCACACATTGCATATGACTGATATCTTTTTTGGCTCTCTCTTTATCTATTATTTTCTCTTTTATTCCTTGCAGATTATATGTTAAACTATCACTTGTCCATTTGGATTTACTGTTTGTGTCTCCATGGTGTATGTTAACACATTCTTTGAATGATTTCTCTTTTTCTTATAAATTGTAATTTGGATCTAAGGGCTTGACGAGATTTGATTTTTTTTTTTTTTTTGGCAAGACTGCTTAGGTAGGTATTCTATAAGGAGGCACAAAGTCTACTTATCTCTGTTTTTGTGATGTTAGAAGCTGTTGATGTTTACATTTAGTTCATTTCAAGTTGAAAATGGTGATACTCTTATTCCTTCTCCAGTTTTTTAGCCACAGTGATTCTAAAATGAGAAATTGCTCTTCATCTACCCCTTCGTTACCCAGTGAGTGGTACAGTTTGAATAGAAAAGGCAGGGTAAATGCTTTATTCTTTTCCTTTATTTCACTTTTCAGAATAGTGAGTTGGTTCTTTAGGTGTTTCAGTCTATTATAGTTATTATTTTTATTGATGCTCAAATTATAATAGTCAACAGGAGCCTCTTCAAGTTAGCCCTTGAGTCCTTTAACAAGATGCTGGTGATCTTAGATAACTTTCTTACAGTCTGGAATAACTAGATATTCTTGCATTATCTGGTATATGTTAATCTGAGACCTGGAATTAACTAATTCTCCAAGGATATGGTATTTGGAAATAACTATTAATATTTTACTTAAATTTATTTTATTTTATAGTAGCCTGTTAAGCATACTTAATTTATATAGCCTTTTATTTCATTTTATTTTTAATTTATTTACTTTATTTATTTATTTTTGGCTGCATTGGGTCTTTGCTGCTGCGCGTGGTCTTTCTCTAGTTGCGGCCAGTGGGGGCTACTCTTAGTTGCAGTGTGCAGGCTTCTCATCACGGTGGCGTCTCTTGTGGAGCACGGGCTCTAGGTGCGTGGGCTTCAACAGTTGTGTTAGGTGAGCTCAGTAGTTGTGGCTTGTGGGCTCTAGAGCGCAGGCTCAGTAGTTGTGGTGCATGGGCTTAGTTGCTCCACGGCATGTGGGATCTTCCCAGATCAGGGCTCAAACCCATGTACCCTGCATTGGCAGGCGGCTTCTCAACCAGTGTGCCACCAGGGAAGCCCTATATAGCCTTTTAAATTGTTCTTTTTAGTTCTTGGGATATGAATTTTCTTATATGTTTTGCCCCTTTACCACCATGGTTTTAGGCATTTGGTGAATTTTCTTTCTTTTGAATTCAGGTACGTATTAAAGCAATTAAAAAAAATTGTTGTTTGTCTTATCCAACCTTTTGATCTGTTTGGAGTGAGAGGGGTGGCTCCTTGCATTAATTAAATCACCATGTTGAGTAAAGTTCCCCTATTGCTATTTATTTGGGATAGACATGCTCTTAGAATGTCAGAAATGACCTCATCTGTGGATAAAGTGAAAACTGCTTACTCCCCTAGTGTTTTTATGTTTTCCCTAGATACTTTCTGTTTGGTTTTTATTGGGAACTTTAATATAAATATTATGGCTAAGGTCAGTTTTGCTTCTGTGTATTTGACGTATTTCAATCTGTAATTTGGGTAGGGGAAAAAGGGAATGGAATATTTATTTTCCTTTTGTAATACTTCACCATTTTTAACTTGGTTACAGAGAGAAGGAAAAAGGTTGCTGTGGAATTGTGTGAACTTGTAGGGGCTGAAATTAAAAGTATCAAATAAAGAAACTTGTCTTCTGTTATAAGATTCCTACTACCTCATGAGTTAATGTGGATGTGAATTCTTTGAATTTCTTTTTTTCCTGCATGGGTGTGAGGGACATATAGATGTTATGGTTGTAGTTTTATAAAATATGCCGGGCAGCAAACTCTAGTGCTATTTAGAAACAAAAAGAAGAAAGCAATGAGAACATGGGCAAACAGTTCTTGCTAAGCCCTAAAATATATCACTTTTATTCATCCATACAGAAAACAAGCATGAGGGCAAGAGGAGGCGAACAGAGAGAGTTAGGCGAGAGAAGATAAATTCTACAGTAAATAAGGATTTAGAAAACAGAAAGAGGTCTCGAAGTAACAGCCATTCAGATCATATCAGACGAGGAAGAGGAAGACCTAAAAGTGCATCTGCCAAAAAACATGAGGAAGAAAGAGGTATGACTGGTATAGCTTTTATCAAAGTTAAAGATTTTTTAATATTGTATGGTTAAAGGACTAAGGTTTATAATGTCTTTGTATTCTGTGGAGACTGTGCTTCTATACTCCTTAATTTCCTTGGGTAATTTTACTGCTTTTTCTCTTTCCTTCTGTTATGCTGATCTTCCAGAGAGTTTGAGTTGTTTTCTCAACTTGAGGGTTCTTCGTTAACAATGGGATGATCAGAAAATATATGCTAAAGACTGTTTCAGAATGAAAACTAGGTAAAGAAGAGTCAACAGAGGGGCTTCCCTTGTGGCACAGTGGTTAAGAATCTGCCTGCCAGTGCAGGGGACACGGGTTCAAGCCCTGGTCCGGGAAGATCCCACATGCCACGGAACAACAAAGCCCGTGCACCACAACTACTGAGCCTGTGCCCTAGAGCCCGCGAGCCACATCTGCTGAGCCCCACGTGCCACAACTACTGAAGCCCATGCACCTAGAGCCTGTGCTCTACAACAAGAGAAGCCACCGCAATGAGAAGCCTGCGCACCGCAACAAAGAGTAGCACCCACTCGCCACAATTAGAGAAAGCGCAAGCACAGCAGTGAAGACCCAATGCAGCCAAAAAATAAAATAAATAAATTTTAAAAAAAGTCAAGGGATAAAAAAGAAAAGAGGGAAATACTGCTTGGCCCAGAAAGCAGAGCATTCTTCACAGTTGAAGTAAAGGGAATATAACCCAAAGAATGGAAAAGGAATGCTTGTGGTCAGAGGAGATGAGAGAATAGATAATGACAGTCTTTTATTTGGGGAAACGAAGGCTCTGTAGTTGTGGTAGGACTATATATGCAGGTTTGGATCTTTTATTTCATGTTAACTTGAAAAGTGTTTATTTGGTATAAGTTGGTTTCAGGTATTTTTAGTTTATTATAGAAAAGTTTTAAGAAAGCTATTTCTAGAGTAAGATATGCTTTTAATACAAACAGGGAGGACCTCAAGGAATTTTTGTATAATAAAATAGAATCTTTTAACGTAGGCCAGGGGCGAGGGCATTCAGCAAACTTTTTCTGTAAAGAGCCAGATAATAAATATTTTAGGCTTTGTGGGCTATAGGGTCTCTGTCATAGCTAGTCTGCTCTGTCATTGTGTCTGGAAAGCTGCCATAGAGAATACGTAAATGAATGGGCATGGCTGTGTTCCAGTAAGACTTTGTAAAAACAGGTGGGAGGCCAGATTTTGCCAATTGTATTTTACCAATTTTGCAGGCTGTATTTTACAAACCCTTAAGGCAGACCATGTTTTCTAAATATAATACTGATAGAAAATATGAACTTTTGAAATGTTTATATATTTTAGAATAGACTTCTTTGATATGCTTCTTAGTGTTAAGTAGCTACTTAAATTCAGTATTTATTGATTCCCAGCTCATAGGGCACTTGAAGAATTTGAAGCAAGCTTTACTTTTATTCTAATAAGGAAAACCTGACAGTGTGTCTAAAAGCACATTTTTAATTGGCTTTACTGTTTCCTATGTTTTGAAAAAAATAGGAAGAAGAAGGAATGAAAAGGAAATCTTTTTAGACATCTAGATAACATTATCATAAAAGCCAACCATTAAACTTAAAAGTTTTGGGTGGTTTAAAATAAGTCTTCATTTTATATGTGGGGGGTATGATTATTCTGGATATTAGTAAAGTAGGAGTGACTTTTGTTTTTTTTTGTTTGTTTTTTTTTTTGCGGTACGCGGGCCTCTCACTGTTGTGGCCTCTCCCGTTGCGGAGCACAGGCTCTGGACGCGCAGGCTCAGTGGCCGTGGCTCATGGGCATAGCCGCTCTGCAGCATGTGGGATCTTCCCGGACCGGGGCACGAACCCATGTCCCCTGCAGCAGCAGGCGGACTCTCAACAACTGCGCCACCAGGGAAGCCCCAGGAATGACATTTTGACTGATTGAAATATATTGGGCAATTCTGAATACCTTATTAATGAACATAGAGAGTTAATGTAGACTTCACGTTAAAGATGGTGGATTGAATAAACACATCTAGCTCTGCACCCTCCCCAAATCCTAGTAAAATGACAAGGATGAAAGGGATTTTTTTTAAAGGGCCAAGTCCCACAAGGACAAGGAGTGGGAGAAGCAGCAAAATTCTGGAAAGTGCTAACTTCTTTAGCAGACCCAAGAAACCCAAATTGTAAACTCCTTTGAGGAAAGCTGAGAAAGAAACTGATTTTTGTTTCACATCTGCCTAAGGTCAGGAATTTTTTACCTCAGTTATTGTCTGGAAGTGTAGAGGTGAAGGTGAGGCTAAAAACAAGACTATTTGAAGTCTGTGTTTTAATAGCCTGCTAGGGCTCTTTACCCTGACCTCTCCCCGCCCGCAAGTTTATCCTTTGAAAGGGAAAAAACACAGTCTCTGGTCTAGGAAACACCAGGCATCATTGAGGGCAGGAGTACCAAATTAAGATGAGGAAGATAAGGTGAAAATTGGAGATGGTAAATACTGAGTTCTCCAGTCAGGCTTTCACAGAGGAATAAAAAAATAACTTGGATATGATAAGTTTTTGCAGGGAGAAGAAAAAAATTAAAACTACCATTAATATTCTTTGTAAGAGAAGGTATGGTAGTCATGAAAGAAAAACAAGATGATGTTTAAAAGGAATTGCAGATGTCAAAAAAGTACCTGGAAAATGAACTTTAAAATGAGAATCTCAAAATATATATATATGTATGTATATGTCTATACGATTTGCAGAAATGTAAAACTTTAACAGAAGATAAATAGACAAAATAGAAGAAATGTACCAGAATGTATAGTAATAGGAAAAAAGATGAAAAAATGAATAAGAAACATAAGAAATTTAGAGGACCAGTTCGAGGTCCACATCTGTAAATAATTGATGTTGCAGAAGAAGAATATAGAAGATGAAGTAGATGGGAAGTCATCAGTGAAATAATTGAAGTAGTTTTCCCAAACAGGAAGGACATTGAGTTTCCATAGTGAAATGCCTCACCAAATTCCCAGACCAATGGATGGTTAAAACTAGATATTATGCCAAAGCATATCATCATAAATCATATCTCTCTGGTTAAAGGGAAGGTCCTTCAAGTGTTCAGAGAAAATAATCAAAGTGGTACAGTGGAATACTACCCAGCAAGGGACAAACTACTCATCTATGAACAACATCAGTGAATTTCAAAAACATGTTGAATGAAAGAAGCTAGACACAAAACAGTACATACTATACCATGCCACTTATATGAAGTTCAAGAACAGGCAAAAAATAAATCTATGGTGGTAGAACAATGGTTGCTGGTGGGGTGGGGAGGGATTGACTGGAGGGGAGCATGAGGGATTTTCTGTATCTTGATTGTGGTATGGGTCATCCAGTTGTACACTTATGATCTGTATATTTAACTGTAGTAAATTTAGCAATAACTTTAAAAGTAACTGTAAAAAGTGGTATACGGTTTTCTTAACAGTGACAACAGTAGTTGGAAGACAGTATTTTGCCTTTAAAATACTAAGAGGAGGGCTTCCCTGGTGGCGCAGTGGTTGAGAGTCCGCCTGCCGATGCAGGGGGCACGGGTTTGTGCCCCGGTCGGGGAAGATCCCACATGCCGCGGAGCGGCTAGGCCCGTGAGCCATGGCCACTGAGCCTGCACGTCCGGAGCCTGTGCTCCGCAACGGGAGAGGCCACAGCAGTGAGAGGCCCGCGTATCGCAAAAAAAAATACTAAGAGGAAATATTCAAGGCTTTACTCAATCACACTATTAACTAGTGTGAAGAAAGACCAAAGACACTTTCTGATATTCAGGGTCTCAAAAAATTTGCTACCCATACTCCCTTTCTCAGGAGGCTACTGCAAGATATATGGCATCAATGAAGAAGTAAACCAAGAAAGTATCCTGGACCTACGACACGGGGTCCAACTCAAGAGAGAGATGAGGAGAATCTCCAGCATGATGTTGATGAGAGATCTCCAGATGATAATTGTGCAATAGGCCTAGAAAGCAACCATTTCACATTGGAGCACAGAATTTCTTCAAGAAGATAAGATTGATATGTGTAAACATTCTGAAAGATTTATCCAACTAGGAGAGAGTTTGGGTTCAATTAGTAATAAAACCTAAGCAAGTGAAAAAAGAGAATCTCTTCAGTGAAAACAGTGTACAGGAAAAGTGAAATCATTTACACAGTGAATAATGTAAACACAATATTGATCTCATCAAAATGGTAATATAACTAATGGGAAGATGTGATAAGAGTATGGTGGGGGCAAGAGACAGAAAACAATAAATCCTAATACTTATGGTGGAAAGTCAATTAATAATGCCTATAACCAAAAATCCAAGATGTTGCATCAGATAAATATGTTACTTAGGTAAAAACCAAAAGGAATACCTGGAAAAGTAGTTTTATTTGAAGAGTAGGAAATGTGCGTGAGGGGAGGAGGACTTCTGTTTTTTTTTGTAACACATTTTGTAAAAATAATTTGACTCTAAACTATATTCATGTTTAACTTTGATTAAAAAGTCAATACAAAACAAAAAACGAGACAAGTGTGGAATCATAGAGCCTGAAAAAATCATTTGGGAGAATATACACAAAAGATGTTAATCGTGATTTTAGCTGGCTCATAAGATAACAGGTGATTTTTCTTTTTTATCTTTCTGTATTTTTCAAAGTTTCTACCATGGACTTGGATTACATTTGTAATCAGGTGGGGAAAAGTAGAAATAAATGTTGGTTATTCATATTTTCCATAGCAGGGCTAAGGTGAAGAACTTAATATATTCATAAAGGCACCATTGATGTTCAGAAGGGACCATATTTAGGGTGAGGAAATTCATTTTTATTGAAACAGCTCATGCTAGTGAGGAGAAAGAAATATTTGAGATTCTTACAGAAATGATATCGATATTAGACTGTGTGTATAGAAATATATAGTCTACATTTAGTCTTAGAATTGAGTTCATGGCATTTTAGTAACTCCTTTGTGTAATTTTAAAATTTCAGTTCAGTAGCATAATACTTTATAGCATTTAGTGTATGTTGTAGTATTATGTATTATATTTATTGTCATTTAAAGGAATACTTGAAAACTCTAAATTAAAAAAATACTGCATCTACTGCCTTTATATTAAAAGCTTTCTGTTTTTCTTTTAACAGAGAAACAGGAAAAGGAAATTGACATCTATGCTAACCTCTCTGATGAAAAGGCTTTCGTGTTTTCAGTCGCCTTGGCAGAAATAAATAGAAAAATTATTAATCAAAGACTTATTCTCTGATATTTGTCTGCAAAATGTGTTGAAACTTTCTTCAGGATTACATCAGCAAATTCTCAAACAGTTATGAACTCCCAGGAGCATTCTGACTGCATCAATAAGGGCCATTGATTGTTTTTTTTTCTTTATCATTTAGCCTGTGGCACACTTTGGGAGCAAAGCTGCAGGCTTGGACTGTTCTGGGATTTCCTTGTTTACCAAGGAGTATTGTCAGTGTTTTGTGTTTGGAATATAGTGTATTAACCCCCCCCACCCCCCCACCCCCCTACCC